ACTTTGAGAAACTTTGTTCTTAAACTGTTGGACTATTTGCCCACGCAGTTGTTCACAAAGTGGTGAACCTCGCCCCATCCTTGCTTGTGAACGACTGAGCCTTTCGGGAATGCTCCTTTTATACCTAATCATGACACTCACCAGTTTCCAATTAACCTGTTCACTTGTGGAATATTCCAAACAGGTGTTTTTTGAGCATTCCTCAACTTTCTCAGGCTTTTGTTGCCCCTGTCCCAGCTTTTTTGGAACTTGTTGCAGGCATCAAATTCAAAATGAGTGAATATCTAAAAAATAAACAATAAAGTTTCAGTTTGAACATTAAATATCATCTTTGTAGTGAACTCAGTTGAATATAGGTCAAAAAGGATTTGCAAATCATTGCATTTTGTTTTTATTCACATTTTACACAACATTCAAACTTCATTGGAATTGGGGTTTGTATATTGCACAAGGTAACAAAATATAAAATGCATTGGTTATTTATATTGCACAGGTCCCAAAAGATAAAATTCAGAGATTAAGTGTATTGCACAAGATCCCAAAAATAAATTGCACTGATTATGTACATTGTACAAGGTCCCAAATGTAAAGTGCATTGATGGCACCGGTCCCAAGATATAAAATGCATAGATTATGTATCTTGCACAAGGTCCCAAGACATAATGGGTCTCATTCATGTAACGTTAGAAAATTTGTGCGTAAATTTGCACATAAAAGCCTCCGCTACTAAAAACCTACTCCGGATTCATGAACACCGCGGGAGACTCAGATCTGATCGTAAAGACATGTGTATGATCATGAATGCCAATCCATTGTAAAGTGACAGCGCGCTCCCGGTAATCAGCTATTAGCATAAATCCCTGCCCATGAATTGCCAATAACCACCATATAAGGAGGCATAGATGCATCCAGTAGACCTGTCAGTCATGGCACAAACAAAGAAAGAGAGAGAAGGAAAAAAGAATTATTCTGAAGCGGAGATAGAAATAATTTTGGGTGAAGTGGAGTTAAGAAAAACATTTTATCTGTTAGCAGTGGTGTGACAGGGACAGGCAAAGCGAAGGCCTGGAAGGAGGAGACAGATGCCGTTAATGTTGTCTCTGTAGTCCAAAGAACCATGTCCAAAGTGAAGTGTAAATGGTTTGACGTGAAACTGGAGGCAAAGAAACGCATTAGCGCACACAAAAAAAAAAAAAAAAAAACATCAGCCACAGGAGGAGGAGGCTCACAGTCACAACTCGTCCCATGAATAACAAAAGGTCGCAAGTGTCATTGGGTTTTTTTTTTTTGGCCAGAACGATTTTAAAAGGAGGCACAAATATTTTTGGGGGGTTTTTATGAGTGATAAAGGGGTATAGAATCATGGGGGAAAAATTTTAAAAGGAAGGGGTAGATGCGGTGCGAGGAAAAAAAAAAAAAATTGCAGTAATTCCAGGTTCCACCACTGTACTCTTCCTTCGTAACAGTCACTCAGTGTACAATATCTCCAACTTCTTCTGATCTTCTTTTTTTCTGTGTTTTCTTTTTCCTCCTTTGATGAGGCTGTGAACAAAAATTTACATGTTAAGTTAGACATTACAATCATGTCTGCAGCAAGATTCAAACCTGGGAACTTGTGGACATAGCAATTTCAAACACACCATATACTGTGGTCCTAACCGCTACACCAACTGAGTTTGTTGTCAGCTGTATGCATCAGTTTCCATTCATCGCTGAAGGGTGAAAAACAACCAAAGCTATAATTATATATATACAGATATAAACAGTCGCGCCAAAAATTATTCATACCCCTACCAATTTTTTTTTTTTTTTGACAAATCAAATTTATTCTTGTACAGATGACACAGTAAGCTGACATAAGGCTGTAAGAAGTACAGTAAACAATTTTTCAAGAAATACAATACTTTTTGGTATTTTATTTGACAGATTTACAAAAAATGCCACATCCAGAATTATTCATACCCTTTTCTGAGTAATTGATGACAGAGCCTTTATTCACGATTACAGCCTCCAAACGCTTCCTGTGGTTGATCATAAGGTTTCTACACCTTTCCACAGGGATTTTTGCCCACTCCTCTTTGGCAAACTTTTCCAGATCCTTAAGGTTTAAGGGTTTCCTTGCCATGACCTTGGTCTTCAGTTCCCTCCACAGATTTTTGATAGGATTGAGGTCGGTGCTCTGGCTTGGCCACTCCAAAACGTTCACTTTGTTGTCTGCTAACCATTTCTTGACGGATTTGGCCCTGTGTTTAGGATCATTATCCTGTTGGAAGATCCATTCCTGCCCAAGACCAAGTTTTTTGGCGGATTGCTTAATGTTTTCACTGAGGATCTGGATATCCTGGTCCTGTTTCATGATGCCATTAACTTTAACAAGGTTTCCGGGCCCATTTGCTGAAAAGCAACCCCAGAGCATGATACTCCCGCTACTGTGTTTGACCGTTGGGACCGTGTTTTTCAGGTTGAACACTTCACCTTTCTCATGCCACTTCCCCAACCCAGACACAAGAACTAGTCTAGCCTTCACAAAAGCTCACCTGGATGAAGATATAAGCTTCTGGCTGCCAATGTTATGGACGGATGAAACAAAGATGGAGCTGTATAGGCACAGAGATGGGGCTTTTGTTTGGCGTTAGAAAGGTGAAGCATTCAACCTGAAAAACACGGTCCCAATGGTCAAACTAGGAGTATCATTCTCTGGGGTTGCTTTTCAGCAAATGGGCCCGGAAACCTTGTTAAAGTTAATGGCATCATGAAACAGGACCAGGATATCCAGATCCTCAGTGAAAACATTAAGCAATCCGGTGAATCACTTGGTCTTGGGCAGGAATGAATCTTCCAACAGGATAATGATCCTAAACACGCAGCCAAATCAGTCAAGAAATGGTTAGTGGACAACAAAGTGAACATTTTGGAGTGGCCAAGAAATAATATATTCATAATAATAATAAGATATTCTGATCCATTGGCCCTGGGTAGAATAATTTGAGCAGAACAAATCATTGTTTGTGGCTGAGTTGGGTTAAGGTTAGGGTTGGGCACAGGGATAGGGATAGCATTCCTTATGGGTTGGGTTAAGGTTAGGTATAGGGATAGGGATAGCGTTCCCTATGAGTTGGGTTAAGGTTAGGGTTAGGGATAGGGATAGCATTCCCTATGAGTTGGGTTAAGGTTAGGCACAGGGATAGGGATAGGGATAGCATTCCCTATGAGTTGGGTTAAGGTTAGGTCAACAGTGTCATGGCTGCCACCTTTATAAACTTGCCGCATGTATAGACACTCTAGAAATTAAAGTGTAAATTCTCTTAACTGGATGTGCCCTCGACGTTTTTCCACACCCGAATCTTTCACTTGGTATCTAAACATTAAGGTAAGCTGAAAAAGTGTGATTTTTTTCGATTTTGCTGGAGGTTGTGAGTGGTACTCTTACCCAATGTTGTTTCATTGTTGTTTCAACGTTGAAACAAATCTTGTTCAAATTTCAGTGTTGATCTGAGATCATTTTGTTAACCTCTTTACAACCATCAGAGTTAAACGTTGTTTCAATAGCGTCTCAATGATGAACCGACAACTGACATAATTTCAACCATATTTCTACATTGAAGGTCGATTGTGTGCTGGCTGGGATTACAACCATCAGAGTTAAACATTTTTTAATAGCGTCTCAACGATGAAACGACAACTGACATAATTTCAATCATATTTCTACGTTGAAGGTCGGGCATGTGCCGGCTGGGACCTGACGGAGACAGTGACATGCCTCCACTTTTATTTTTTTTATTATCATCATTCAACATGTAGAAAGAACGTGTAATCTATTGAGTCGATTCACATAGATAATTCACAATCATGAACCTAATCTGGATCTTAAACCTACCAACTGCCAACTAATTTAACTGTGTTATATTTTTAATTGTTCGTCATGTTTAGGCTATATCACGTGTTTCAAATACATCTGCGTGTTGTGTACATAACAGAGCGCAATATGAATTAAAATTGTAATTTCCAATAGTGACAAGCACTATTTATGTGCATTCTTAAATTTACACAAGCACTACGCGGGGTCAGCAGCATGTGTAGATTTTGTTAGTAGCTACGAAAAGATCAGAGCTGCTAAAATATTGATGAATGCGGAGATGCACGTAAATTTCCATCTGCGAACAGTTTACACACAAATTCGTTCTGCTCACGTTTCATGAATGAGACCCAATATGCATAGGTTATGTATATGACACAAGATCCCATTATAAAAATACTACTGTGTAAAATACACAGTAGAATTGCACAGCTGCTCAATTGCACAGAGCTCTTGGTATTGTTACCCCACTGTAAAATGCACGTTGCTCAATTGCACATAGCACCCTAGTGTTAGGCTGTTGCACTCTAGAGAAATTGCACAGTAACCTATTGCACAACAACTTATTTCACATAACCCCCTTGCACACCATTTCAACAATTATAGATGGCCACAAGTTTGGTTTACCCTTAAGCACAGCTTCAACTGCTTAACCACTTAAAGGCTTGAGCACTCCCTCACCAAAGGTGGGATACTATTCCATAATGCACAACCTTTATAAGACTGGACATTTTGAAAGAAGGACATTCGTCTAAAGGAGGGTTCACAATCACCTCTTTCAGTGCCTCTGGTAACACGAGGTAGAGCCGCAAATAGCCTTTTGCTTTTACCTAATAAAAGTACACTACCCTGACTATTCAAATATATTCCTGAGTATTTTTTAAAAATGTTTTTAAAAACTAAATTAGCTCATGACGCACCATGTTTGCTGGAATCGGGGTAGCTCACTGCGTCTCCTGGACACCTGAACTCTTGAGCGCGCGGAGGTCATAAATTAAATAAAACCAGTGGCATAGTGAGAACTGAAAATTTGGTGGGGCACAGGACACCCCTTTAAAATAGTTATAGTCCTGACTTGTTCTCAATAATTTTCATAATTAGCAATATTTTCACTCCGAGAACACTCCACACCATCCACGCTGGGGGTGGCATGGCTCAGGAGGTAGAGCGGGTGGTCTAAAAATCAGAAGGTTCTTGGTTCAATCCCCAGCTCCTGCCAAGAATGTGTTGAAGTGTCCTTGAGTAAGACCACTCGGGATGCGCAGGTTAGCGCCTTGCATGGCAGCCTCTGCCATCAGGGTGAATAAGAGGCATTATTGCAAAAGTGCTTTGGGGTCATGTGACTAGAAAAGTGCTATATAAATGCAGTCCATTTACCATTTTTTATTTACTGTCAGGAGTTGCCAATTCTCCCCGTTGATGACAATCATTCAAGTGGACATGTAATTTGGTGTATTTAAATCAGCATCATTCAAAATTGCATACATGTCAACTCTCACGCATGTGGCTTGAGTCTTACGCTTTTAAGTGACATAGCATGTTCTCACGCCAAAATCAACAATCTCAGACTTTCTAATTTTATTTCAGAAAACAAAATATATTTAATTTCCTAGTCCCACTTTTCAATCAACCCACACTGTACCAAGCGTGAAAGGCGGTATTTCATTGGAATCAGTCGTGGTTCAGTCATTATTCAATCAACGCGTATTGAAGAGATTATCACGACGAACTGTAGTCAACGTGGACGTTTTTCAGTTTCATGTACGTTTCGGTAGATTTCTCCTCTAGTGACATGGAAACCTATTATGACTCCGTAATTCTCCCGCTTCTCTTTTCTCAGGGGTCGGAAGCTATGAAATTGCATAAAGATGTTTCAAATGGTCTTTTATTTCACTTAAACAATTTAAATGACCATGAAGCGGAAGTTAAAACAACCGGTGTGCAGAAAAGGTAGCGCAGATGTTTCAGAGCAGTTTGTCATTCGTAAAGCATGGGCCTATTTTTGAGTAAATTATTTTCCTGTACTGAGTTTAGTCCATTATTTTATCGTTGTCAGATTGCACAGGGGAGAGAAGCCATGTTCTCAATAGATTATTACTATAATTGGAAAACGTATCAATAAAGGAAGTTGATTGTGATCTGATCAGGACTCGTTGTTGTTATAAAGGGATATTCTGTGGGCACCACTATCTTACCAAGTCTGGCTTCACTAAGGGAAATGAGCACAAGCTTATGCCCACGGGTAGGTCCGAGTTTCCCCGTTTTATTGGAGCAATCAACAGCCGCACACAGAAGCATTACCACTGATTTTGTCGCTCAGGTTCTCATAATGATTGTTAATATCAGACCTTGATCATTCGACCAAAACTGAAGCTGCAGCAAAAGTGATAATCAAGACTAATTTGTATGCACTATAGATAGATCAGCTGATTTCTTGGGGTCCAAGCCATCAAAACATCCGGGACATTGCCACTCAAAGTATTTTTGGATTGGCTGAAATATAATAATGGCAGCATTCATGAACTTGTACTAATTAGCTGCATTTCAGAGATTTGAGGTTTGATTACTCAGTACATAATAATCGCAAAAAATCCCAAAAAGTATTTATGGAAGGGGAAGAATGTGTACTTTTTTTTGAGTAAGAGCTGAAAAAAGGCTTTTATTTTCTTTTAATAAACTCATGCACGGGCGGCGATGCCAAGCCATGCAAAACTTTGTAAATGAGGCAGGCAGATTTGAAGTTTTCAAAATTGGTAACATTTAAGAAGTAATACTTAACAAAAATACTGCAATGGTGATGAGAAAAGGGTTTCTTGTCTGGGACATTCAATGGTTTTTTAAAGCAAGATTCAATAGGTCTAGGAGTTGAAGCACAGGTAAATGATCAGCTGGTGATATAGTAATCAATATGTGAAAATATCATGGAGTGTAAAAATATAAGGGCTGCATTATCTGTCAAGGATGATCAGCACCTTCTGCCTTGGCCAAACGTAAGGTCTGTGTGATGTATAGGGTTGAAGGGAGAACAGAATGGAACGGTTTGAGAGGAATGGGTTACAGCTCTCAGGGTCTCCAGGATAGCGGTTTGGGGTTCCCACCGGGGGCTCTGGTGGGATCCTCGCGGCGAAGGTGCAGGCACAGGCAGCTGGGAAGCTGGTGATGAAGTCGAGGATGCAAACTGGGTCAAGGCCATGGCTAGTTGTTGAACCTGGGCAGCTAGCGCGGCTAACGCCTGCTCATGGGATGCAGCAGACTGCCTCACCACCAGCCTTCATCATGGTTCCACATTGTGGGAGGACAGCCTCAATCCTCTCAAAGTGGTTTTGCAGTGAAGGGGTGTGCGCTGGGTCCATCGCTGGCCAGATTGAACTGTAACAGGTTTGGTTTGAGCCCAACTGCAGCACAGAGTACACCAAAGATAGTTGGCAGTGATTTTTATTTTACCACTGGCACACACTGTAGACAATAGGCAGATGATTTGGTTGTTCAGCAGAACAGCAGAACACTGTTCAATGGAGGAGTGGGCAGCAGATGTATTCAGGGAGGCAGATGGTCGAAACCAAGCTGGAATACAATCCCGGGAAACCAAATAAAGCAGGGAGCAAACACAAGGAGAGTCAAAGACAGGCAGGATTGGCAACAGAAAAACAGACCGGGGAACACTAGAAAGGCTTGCATGGAAACAGTAAAGAACAATCTGGGAAGGAGAGAGTGAACTGGAGAGGCTTATATACTGTGTGGTGAGATGAAGAGAGTGGGGTGGGTGATAAGGTGGGCACGGTTAACAGGTGGAGTGAGGCACAGGCAAGAAGAGTGGAAAATTATTAGGAGGGCAGAGGATCTGAATACAGACTGTGACAAAGATACTCTGCCAGGCCTTCATGACAGCTCTCTTCAGTTCCTGCTTGTTCTGGGGGCATTCTGTGCTGACTTTTGTCTTCAGAAAGTAAAATGTATGTTTAACCTGTAAAGCCTGAACCATGAAATAATAGCCAGAAAATCCCTTTTTTTCTTATTTGATATTTTCATACCATGAGGTGAGGGCCGACTTAATGCACGTGCTTACCTAGGCTGAAGCCCCAGGGCCTACGAGGATCAGGGGCCTATCGTGAGCCAATAAAAAAAGAAAAACAACACAGTTTTGTAATTTGAAAAATTTTCTCTCCATCACTTGATAATCATCTTTGTAGCTGCTGATTGGTTAAATTTACGAATGACCCACGGGGGCCCAGTGACACAATAACATATCAGAAGGTGGAGGGATAGTTTTCGCATGAGACATATTCAAATGTGGGTGTACTGATTTTTCGTGATCGCAGAATCGCAGATGAAGTCATGAAATTGGCATTCATAAAAGGAATTCCAGGTAATGCATGGAAATTCAGCCGATGGAGAAATGATGTTCCAAAGAAACGTCTTTTTCCTCTGAAGACCATGCCGAACCCCCTTAGCTAAAAACTTATAGAAATGTGTCAGAGACAGGAGTCCAAACACCCTTTAGTCGGTAACAGCCTTAATTTAAGATCAAAGACTGCCGTCTTATTTGCACAGCTGGCCGAGTACCTTGTTGCCCTCCTCATTCATTCTCGGCACAGAAGGAACTTTTTACTGCCTTACAGTAGCGTGCCAAATTAGATGAAATCTTTATTGAACATTGAAACACTAACCTCTGCCGAAAGCAACTTACCGATGTTACCGATGTTTTTAGCTGAAATTGATGCGTGGAATATGCACACCCCTAAAACATGACTCGATCGTAGCAGTCATCCTGGCAGAACCGCGTTGCCACCAGTACTCTCGCATGACTGAATGATATTTCAGCCATGGCATACATGTTGGTTCTTACACATGAGTAATCCAGCTTTCTTGTGTCGCGATTGGACAGATTACATTCATTGGCAAACTTCAGCCAATATCTGCACCACGGTAAGGCTACTAGTCTTGCTGGTTACCGTTTCTCACTGGCGGCCTGTTCAAGTCCATGTGATGAATAATTCGCTAGCTAACACGGGAACGCTTTTCCCCATTAGAGTAATAAGTAAAACGTGTAAAAGTTATCGTAGAAACTTAAATTTATTAATTCAATGGCGAAAAGCGTTAGTAAAACAACACCTGATAATGTTGAGAGTTTTCGGGTTTCTGTAATGGTAATTTAAATGAATGATTGAAAACAGGTCAAGACCAATCATTAATTTTTAGGGATTGTTTGAGCTTCCCCTGTTGCCAGTTCACAAGCTGCCACTAATCACTATCATTGTAAAGTGCACACCCAGTGTCATCTCAGCCTGTTAATTAGTACAGTTAACCTGAGCTCTGTTTGTTAACAGTGTGTGGTGAGCTACGAGTGGTCCTGCCAAATGTTTTGTTGTTTTTTCACATCGATATTGCTTTGAAAACCCCATCAAAACAGTATTCAGCACTGCGAATTAAGCGCCCAGCGAACCGAAACCTGCTCCTGCCGCGAGTAATTATGGGTAATGTTGGAACACCAAATACCAATATTGTGGCATTTTCCGGCTCAGAAAGGGAAAGTAATACATTTTGCGCTGTACATAAACGCAGCTCGGGAGGCCTATAGAGCCTTTCAGCCCCAGGGCCTAACAGCAGGTTAAGACGGGACTGCGTGAGGTCAAGTTTCAAAAACTGGTCTCACTGCAACAAAATGGCTACTTTGGGACGACAGTAACGTCATCCCACATGAATAAACTTGGGCTCACTGAATCCACAAGATTCTCAGTTTTCCAGTCATACCCAATTTATGAAATTCCAAGACTGTTTAGAGACCCCAGTATGCAGAAATATTCAGATAGAATAGGTGAATATAACACATGCATACTGCATGCAAAAAACACTGCATTGTTTTTGCTGAAAATTGAATGGGTTCATCATAAAAAGAACATGTCTGTAAGGAAGAGACTCATAGGTATTGGTAACTCATTCTTATTTAGATATCTTGATGTCAGAGGTCAAAGGAACTATGTGAAAATGGCCGTGACAGTTTTTCCTTTGTCAAAATTTGGCCTAACTTTGGAGCATTAGTCGGGCACCTTCCCTACAAGCTCGCATTACTTGGGTGCTACCAATGGATGCCTAATGCTGTGTTTCCACCGAACACAACACGAATTTTGCCTACAGAAAGATTACATTCAAAGTTAGCGCAAAGACGCGAATGCACATGAAAAGACGTTAGTTCACACTGGGTGACGCAAATCAAGCGGG